AAAAAGTAAATCATAAGCAAATTTATAGCAATTTTCCAGGCAAATTTGCCTGGAATTGCCTACAGTTTAAGGGATAGCTTTTTTCAATTTGGTTAGACTAACAATCTTTAAATTGTTTTTTAATTCTGTAAATGCTATAATTACTATATAGCAACTAGATATTTTGTTAGATTTAATTTAATTATTTATGTATTTTCTTTTATTGATAAATAAAAATTTTCAAAATACAACTAATATAAGATTGCTATATATGTTTTATTTACAGAATTATAGAATTCAAAAAAATTACAAAGATCATTGATTTAGCTAAATTAAAAAAATCCAAATTTAAAATTTTAAACTTATATAATAATTAGATTAGTCTTAAATACTTTAAATATTAATATAAATAAAGTTGGCTTAAATAGAAAACATCCTTTTATAAAATAATTGAGAAATTCTAATACTTTTTGGTCAGTTGAAAATGTTTCTTTTAAAAAAATTTCAATAATTTTATTCCATACTAAATTCACGTCATTATGGATTTTATTCAAGTTATCTTCGGCAGTTTGTATCCGTTCGAGTAAGTAAATGATCTCATTTAAATTAAGAGATTCATTTTTATATTTTTATATATAGTTAATATAATAAATTCAAATATTTGTTATTTCGTCAAAAACGGGTTTTCAATCAATAAATTGATTACACCATCCCATACATCATTGGCTTTATTTTCATCAACAAAATCTACTACATATAAATCATCATAGTCCTTCAATTCTTCAATAAGACAAGCGATTTCATGTGGTGCATCACTTGAATATTTCAGTATACTTCGATTTATTGATTCTCTAAGACATAAATTAAAAGCTAGTAACCATTTTCTTTTTATCAAAACTTGATCGACTTCTTTATAATTATTCATAGTCCTATATGATACTATAAAGTAAATAATGCTAAATTTTTTTTAGATCTAAAATAATTTTGAGTAATTTGGTTAATGGATCAGAAAAAAATCAAAATACTTGAAGGTAGAATAAGAATGGATGCTTTTATAATTGGTTTGCAATTTAATTAAATATTGTTTTTTAAATATTCAAAATTAATGTAATTAATATATGCCAATAACTATAGATGGGTGCCTAAATTATTTTTGGGTTGCTGTAAGTAAAAATTGCCGAAAATATTTTAGGCTGCCTAATTCGTAAATAATTTCGGCTGCCGAAATTATTTCCGGCTGCCTAAAATAATTCGGATGCCGAAATTATTTCCAGATGCCGAAATTATTTTTTGGCGTCATTGCGCGTAAATTTAACTGACAAAATTTTTAAGTTTTTTTTTTGATTACTATATATTGTTTTATGTATTTTAGTAACTATAACCGGCAGTGATCATCACCGGGGTGCTTATATCTAAAAAACGTACTAAGTAAACTGGATCGGGTACTCTAAGTAAAAATGTTCAGGACCCCTGAAAACCTCACGAGAACTGAAATTGGGACCTTATATTAGCTCTACATTATATTATATAAAAAAAATAATAATTCTCTAATTTCTAACCCCTAACAAATCTTAGGACCGGTGATGATCACCGCCGGTGATTAGAACTAAATCTCTTGTTTTATAGTTACTTACCAATTATTTTTCTTTATTTTTTTGTGGGTACCTTGATCTAATTGTTTATCTCGGATGCATGTTCGCCTTTGGTGGGCCTAAGAATTTTGGGTTGCCGAGAATTATGAAAGCGATGAAATATTTAAAATGATAATATTTATTTTATTATTTAGTACTAGATAATGTGTAACACTGTATGTCAGGAACCCATATAATTAACAACGCGTGCCATGTAATGGCATGCCTTTATTATACTGAAGTACACGATTATAAGCGCGCGCGGATGGAAAATTTCTAAATTACTGTTTTGATACAATTTTCATAATATTTATCAGATATATCAAAAAAAGTATGTTTTTATGATCGAAATGCATCAAAAACGTAATGTTTGTCTCACCTTACGTAGAGTTTGAGTCCTTCACTACGTTCTGGACATTTAATGTTTATAATAATTAAAAATATATACAATTATCAATAAAGGACTTTAGGTAGCGCACTCAGAAAAATTGGTCCTCCTGCAATTTTTAACCAATCAAAGATGTACTGTAATGTGACAGTCAAAATACCAGATGCATGTAAGAAGTTGCATGTAAAATTAAAGCCAATAAGCCACGCTATAGTTAGGAATAGTGTTAGAACAAAGCGGCTTTTATTAGCAAACTTTCACAAAAAGCATCCTTAATTAGGCCGTAGATGTGGTTTCCTAATTAACATCTAGAGCTATTGTTTTTTTTTTGCTTTTCGATTTAAACGTTACACCTGATCATTTATCAAAATTAAGAGATGGGCACTTAGGTGCAGTTTTACTGTAATAAATTGAATTAATTTTTTTGGCAACAGAAATAATTTCGGCAGCCGAAAATGATTACGGCGGCCAAAAACATTTTCGGTTGCCGTAAATAATTACGGCATGGCGAAAATATAAAAAATATTGGCTGCCGTAATGCCGTAAGTCCTTCCGAATTTAGGCGCCCATGTATACCAATAACGGATGTCCTCGTTTATTGTCTATTATGTTATAATATATACCAATAACAGATGTTCTCGTTACTAATCATTAATATGTAGATCTTTTACCATAATTATTAGCAAGAAATATACTTAAAATCACCGGTGGTGATCATCACCACCCCTAATTATTTTTAGGGTTAGGGTTAGAAATTAGAGAATT